ACCCTAAACCCTAAACCCCTCAACCCTAAACCTGTCTACCGAAACTTTCACAAGCCCAGCATGCTGCGTTGAGAGCCACTCGTAAACCCCAACACCCTGCCCGAACAAACAGTTGCAAATTTAACACGGATATCTATGTACGATGTCCACCGCTTGATATATAAAACCAGCACTTGATACGATTCCCTAAACCCTAAACCCTAAACCCTAAACCCTAAACCCTATACTCAAGGTTGGACAGCTCGACCTTGCTCTCCTCAAAACGACTGTCAAACCCCGGGCAAGAGGAAATCCGCCCGATGGTGCCTGCCAGGGCGGGCTATTGTATTGTAACCCCTTAAGAAGGCCCTTTCTAGGGTTTAGGGCTTAGGGCCAGGCCCAATAGCCCATCCTGGTGCCGGCACCACTTTGGAGTGAAAAGCACATGAGGACTTCCTCTTGACAGTCGCGAACAAGATCAGGCAGCCAGGGCCTTCGTATCCTGGCTTGCCAAGTCTTTGCTTAGTAGCCCAGTAACCCTGTTGCAATGAGGGACACTCTTTTTTGGGTTGGCTACTTTGTAGGGGAACCCTAAACCCTAAACCCTACACCCTAAACCCTAAACCCTAAACCCCAGAGCAAAAAAGAGGGTACAGGGTACCACTGGGCTACCAAGTTTGGCATGATTGCCACATGCTTACAAAACTGGAGAACCCAAGCAGCCAGAATGGCCCTCAAGACCCTCTGAAAACTATTCCTGAATGTGATCCTCTTAAACCCAATAAGGGATACACACACACATATATATATATAATATGACATAATTTCACAGAATGTATTGTAAAACAACATAATTTCAGAAAAGATAAGATAAGTTATATATATATATATAATATCCCAAGGGCCTACCTAGCCAAGCAACAACCCGATTTCCACAACTGCCCCTTGTTGGCAATGCGCAGTCGGCAGGTTGTTGCACCGAAACTGATCCTACAGTGACCGTTCAGAATCGTCACTGATACAAACCTGCAAGCTGCCAGGGCCATGACATCCCCAAACCCTAAACCCTATAGAAACCCTAAATCCTAAGCCCTAGGCCCTAAACCCTAAACCCTCATGAGTCCAGAGCTTTGCAGAATGTCAGACCAATGATTTAATCGAGCTGCCAGTGATTTCCAGCCTGCCTTTCCTTGGCTGCACTTGGGAGGGTAGCTATGAATTACATTTTTAGCTGCCTGATTAAGAAACCCAGTAGACCCAAAAAGGCTAAGGATCTAAAGTTACAGTAAAGCACCACAAAGTTTCATCCAGCCAGCAGCGCTTCGAAGAGATCCATTCCTGGCTTCGCCTGGGTTTCACATGGTCTCATCGCAGTGGCGCGACACGAAGAAATAGGCCCTAAAGCCTACACCCTACACCCTACACCCTACACCCTACACCCTACACCCTAAACCCTAAACCCTAAACCCTAAACCCTAAACCCTAAACCACACACTTCCACTGCTGCCGGAGGTCCGTACGCTTGAATGGGTTCGGAGCTTGTGGAATGCCCGTCGGGCCAAAGATCCTCGGCTTGCCAAAAAAACGCAGCGCTCGGTCGTTTGCAAAGGTTCAGGTTGTTCGGGTTCAGTCTTTTGGGGTTCAGTATTTGTCAGGGTTTAGGGTTTAGGGTTTAGGATTTAGGGTTTAGGAGGTTTAGGGTTCAGTCTTTTGGGGTTTGGGGTTTAGGGCTACGACCTGACCTTGCACTTGGATGCTTCTTCAAGCCCTATTGAAGTACAGCACCCTGCCTGACATGACATAGCATGCCGGGAACTCCAACCTGGGCGACCACATGAACCCCAAAAATTGGAGTCATGGGTTTAGGGTTTAGGGTTTGGGGTTTGGGGTTTGGGGTTTGGGGTATAGGGATATACCCTATACTACTGTAACTCCCTTGTGGGGTTCATTTGTCCCCCAAGTTGTCTAAAGCCTGAACCCTAAACCCCCTAAACCCTAAACCCTAAACCCTAAACCCTAAACCCTAAACCCTAAACCCTAAACCCTGCTGCAGTGCAGGAGAGAGGCCGCCTCAACTGTTGCTCTCGGTCGCACGGCTCTGGGGAGCCGGCACTGATGGCCCGCTCCCTGTCCGGCCTTGCAGCAGTAGGGGTTTCGGGTTTAGGGTTTAGGGTTTAGGGGGTTTGGGGTTTAGGGTTTAGGGTTTAGGGTTCACGCTTTCCCGGTTTAGGGTTTAGGGTTTCGGGTTCACGATTTAGCGGTTTAGCGGTTTAGGGTTTAGGGTGTAGGGGGTTTTCCGGGGGTTCAGGGTTCACGGCTCACGCTTCACGGTTTTGCGGTTTAGCGGCTTAGCGGTTTAGGGTTTAGGGTTGAGGGGTTTAGCGTTTGGAGTTTAGGGGTTTAGGGTTTAGGGGTTTAGGGGTTTAGGGGTTCAGGGGTTTAGGGGTTTAGGGGTTTAGGGGTTGAGGGGTTGAGGGGTTCAGGGGTTTAGGGGTTTAGGGGTTTCGGGGTTTTGGGTTTAAGGTTTACAGTGGGATTTAGGGGCTTAGGGTTGACAATGGGTCGCTCAGAAAATTGCTCTTAGTGATTCAGGGAACCGATGATGAACACAATGTGTTTAATGATGGCTAGCGGATCACAAGAAATGAATGAAAACCTTTGTCAAACAAGACAGGTCATGTGAAGTAGGGTATATATTCCTTGTATCCCCAGGGGGCACCCTCACCAAGACTTATAAGGAACCCTAAACGCACCCACCAAAAACAGTAATGCAAGCCCAATATCACGTGGGGCGACGTCTTTGGCGTCCTTGTATGAAACTAATTACTTGGCCAAGAACGGAACTTTCCACTTTTTGGGTCTCATATTTAGTAGGAATCATGAAGTTTAACCTTTGTGCCCCTTGGTTCTTGAAGACGTGTGTATGAAACTAAGCCCAAGGCCTTGCAGATGCTCGCAACGGGCTGCGTCCTGAGTACAGAGGAGCTTCTTCTGCAGAGCGACTGAACTTCACGCGGACCACGTCGAAGGCTTTATGGGCACTACTTGGGTACTTCCAAAAATAGGGGTACCCCCGTTTCATGCCCCAAATAGAAGAGAATCCCCTTAAAGGGACACCCCTCCCCCCCCCCCCCCCCCCCCCCCCCCCAAAGAAAAAATAAAAAAAGGTCAGCAACCCCGCTTGGTAGCCCTAAACCCTAAACCCCAAACCTAAACCCTAAACCCTAAACCCCAAACCTAAACCCTAAACCCTGTTGTCGGAAGTGCTGAAAATCATCTCTGTGAGCAGGCTGGATCGCAATGGTCTGGTCTCATTCTGAGTCCGGCACCACATCTCCGACTGCTTGCCACATCTGCAGGGATAGATTGGACTAGGGTTTAGGGTTTCGGTTTTAGGGTTTAGGGTTCAGGGTTCATGAGGGGATCTTACAGGAACTAAACCTGCTAAAGAGCAGGCTGCTTCTGGAGCACTGTGGCTTCGGCAGTTTGGATCTTAAAGTCAAGACCTCTTTCCACGTGCACCTTGCTGGGACGAAGGTGGCGATGTCGTGTTCGCCGCCTGGTTTGTCGTGTCCACTGCAGATGTCTGCATGGTGGCCTTAACTCGCGATCAACAAAACCCTAACCCCAAAACCCTAAACCCTAAACCCTCAACCCTCAACCCTCAACCCTAAACCCTAAACCCTAAACCCAGAAAAAACGCACTACGCAATGCTTGTCCAGGCTACTGCTCCAGAAGCTCTTGACTCGGCTTGTACTGCGAGCCCCGAGGATAAACTGGGAAGGCAAAAAACTTCAAATGGCTTGATCCCATGCGGCAACGAGGGCAAAGTCGTCGCACAGCTTTGCGCCACATGTTCCATGCTCCTAAACCCTAAGCACCCTAAGCACCCTAAGCACTCTCGACACCTTACACCCTAAGCCCATGACACCCTAAACGCTTAACACCCTAAGCACCCTAAGAACCCTAAGCACCCTAAGAACCCTAGACCCTAAACCTAAACCCTATAAGCACCCTAAGCACCTGAGCACCCTAAGCACCCTAAGCACCCTAAGAACCCTAAGAACCCCAAAACCCTGAACCCCCTGAGTCCCGGCCTGGGAAATCGACCTCGCAGGGGGCTGCGGAGGGCCTTGCTGTGCCTTGCCTCCTTAACCACCTTTTAAGGGCCTGAATAGTATTAAGAAGGGTGTTAGGAAGGGTATGAAGAAGGGTAATGATCAAGGGTATTCAGAAGGGTATTATGAAGGGTATCAAGGGTATTTAGGATTTTTTGACCACCTCTTGGCGTGTTTTGCAACGGCGGTTCAAGGTATTTAGTGTTTTCCTAAGGTGTTTAGGGTGCTTAGGGCTAGGGTATTTGTGAAATTACGGGTATTGTCGGGAATTTATGGTATTCAGCGAATCTAAGGCGCTATGGGTGCTTACCCTTGGTCAACAACAGCTGACGATTGCTTAACCTAGGATAAAAAGGGGTGCCAGTTTTGGTCTTCAGGGGGCTATACAGTAAGTTACCCTGAAACCTAACGAAGGGAATAAGGGCCTTCTCTGGATCCTAGAAATTCATTCACAAATCGACATAAATGTAAATAACCACTGTCTCAGAATCTAAGCCTCAGAATGGAAAAAAACAGATTATTGAGAATGTTAAAGCCTAAACCCTAAACCCTAAACCCTAAACCCTAAACCCTAAACCCTAAACCCTAAACCCTAAACATGATTCATGGGCCTTGGGTCCTTATAGCTGTCCATGTAATTCAATATGGCTCACCTCTTGGGATGCTTCCCCCTGAGGCTAACAGTCCTTAATGGGGAGTATAGCACCCCCTATTCTCATCCTTTCTGAGGACTGTTCGTATAACCTACCTCTGGAGTAGACCCAGAAAAAATATATACTTTTTAGGTATAAGTAGCTATAATGGGAACCCAAAACCAAAAAAAGTATTAAAGTATAGTACTCCAAAACCCAGATAAGAGAGAACACCCCAACTCACCTCGCACTTTTTTCGACGATCTTTGGTCAGACATCAAGCAGCCGTGTCCTCCAACAATCGTCGTAGTCGATGTGCATCTTCACCTGCTCCATCACTAGCCGTATTTATCCGGGAATACCCAGTCCCTAAACCCTAAACCCTAAACCCTAAACCCCAAACTGTGAAAGTCCTAGTCTACTGCCCATGTCTCAGTGTGTCGCCAAGTTCCTAAACCTCCCGAAGCCCTCCTGTCTGTATCCGATTCCACTACTTGGGGATTCCTGGCGCGCATGAACTAACCCTGTTCGTAACGATACTGCTAGGCAAGTACATCAATGTTCGGGCACTCAAGGGGCTGTTACGTGGGCTATATAACTTCACATAAACCTCCAAGAAACCATGAGAATGCCGTACTGCCCTGGGTCTACAGTACGTGCCCTGTAAACCCTAAACCCTAAAGGAATCCTGGCTTCCACAAAGGGGTTGGGCTTTTTAGGGTTCAGGGGGCTTCACAAAAGCGACTACCAAGTTGGGAAGGTGTTGCAAAACCAAAACCGGAAACCCTAAACCCCTACAACCGAGTCTCCGGGGTTTAGGGTTTAGGGTTTGGGGTTTTGGGGTTTTGGGGTTTAGGGAAGGATTAGGCGGTGAGCGTTTAGGACTTCTACGCCTCAGGGCTTCGGCGGGCGTCGAGCCGAGTTGCGTGAGGGAAGCGTCGGGCAAAGTTGCAGATGGCGGCCATACAGGAGATGCAGCAGAAGTGACACACGAACACCTGCCGAGCCAGCCCAAGATTTGCGGTTTTGGGTTTGAGGTTGAGGACTTCACAAGGGTCTAGGGTAAACCCAGAGAGAAAATACATATAAGGGTGCTCATGACTCACGCGTTCAGACTGCAGCCAAACTATTCCCTTCCCTACTCACATCAGTCACGTGGGGCACACCCAGCCACAACCCACAACCCTCACCCTAAACCCTAAACCCCTAAACCCCTAAACCCTAAACCCTAAACCCTAAACCCTAAACCCCAAAACCCTAAACCCTAAACCGTCAACCTTGAACCCTCAAAACTCCCAGCACGTAGTCCCCGCGCCTCAACACCCTGTGCAGGTCAGCTCTGAGGCTTCGGGACATAAAGAGTTTGGGTTTAGGGTGTAGGGTTTAGGGTTTAGGGTTTAGGGTTTAGGGCAACGCGGCCTGCATCTGCCCGCTGACCGCAGCCCCCAGCGAACCATCAAAGAGGCCCAGCCTGGGTTCTTGAATGATAACTAGTTCATTGTTGGTAATTTTAAATTTAAAAATTTAAATTTATATTCCTTATTGATAACTTATTGGGTTTAGGTACCCTTAAAAATGTAAAATGTTACCCAACTATGACAAAGATAAGTTGTCATGAGTTGCCATGTTGGGGATAGGGTTTGGGGTCTAGGGTCTAGGGTCTGGGGTTTAGGATCTGGGGTCTAGGGTTTAGGGTTTAGGTTAGGTTTTTCGGTACCCTACTGAGAAAACCACATCTTACTAGATTGTTACACTTGGGAACGGAATTTCTGTTCCTGAACAAGAGCCCAGCAGCTCGATGCTGGTCTCCGGCTGCAATGCGGCGCGGCCCTGAAGAAACTGACCTGCTGCAGGGGGCTTGCATCGCCACAGAGCAGGAAGGAGGCGTGTAAATCACCTAAACTAACCTTTAAAGTTGAGGGTTTAAGGTTTAAGGTTTAAGGTTTAGGGTTTAGGGCTATAAATCCCTATATATCCCTAGAACCCCGTATACACTCCTATACCCTCCTGTAAACCCCTACAAGCCTCTATAAACCTGTAAGTCCATAAGCCAGAGGGGGCCGAGATAAGAACTTGATGCAAATTGATGTTCGCTCAGCCGTGCGTCGTGTGATGGCGGCTTCTTTGGAACATTCGGGATTGCAATTTAGGGTGTTTAGGGTTCAGGGTTTAGGGTTTAGGGTTTAGGGCTAGGGTTTAGGGCTAGGGTTTAGGGCTAGGGTTTAGGGCTTCATAAACGTTTGGGCTTTTGGTGAAAAAATCCCGTCAACTGCGGCCGAGCAGGCTCTGCTTCCGCTCCAGACGGCGTATGGCGCCGATGATCTCCAGGATCACTTCCAGAAGGGCCTGAAAAGTGTGAGGCTTATAGGGGCTTATAGGGTAGGGTTTACGGGGGCTTATAGGGCTGAATAGGGGTTTCTAGAAGGCTTATAGGGTTTGGGATGGGCTCAGAAGGGCCTGAAAGGTGTGAGGTTTGTAGGGGGCCTATAGGTGTATAGGTACTGTATGAGGGGTTTGTGGGTCTTTTTGGGGTTTATAGGGATTATAGGGGGTGGTGTAGAGTTTATAAGGGGTTTATAGGGGGTTTATACGGAGTTTATCGGCCTGAAGTGTGAGGTTTATCGGGACTTATAGGGTAGGGTTTATAGGGTTTAGGAAGGGCTTATAGGGGTGTATAGTTAAATATAGGGGGTTTATAAGGTTTAGGGTGTTCAGGGTTTAGGGTTGAGGGTTCTTTGAGGTTTGTTTTGAGGTCTTTGGCCTGACTCCGGTTTTGGGGGAGGGGAGAGGGGTGGAGGGTCAAAGAACTCGCAATTGGGGCATGGACATTAAAGTCTACGTAAACCCCAATACCATCGCAGCTCTGACCAACAACTCATGGCACGTGAGTGTGACAGTCGCTAGAAGCTATGCAACCCCGAACAATGTTATGTCAACATCAACTATGCATTCCCCAAAGTTGGATGTTCAACCTTCTACTAGTCAACATCAACTACTCATTCCCCAAAGTTGGATGTTCAACCTTCTACTAACAGTCCTTACTAGGGATTACAGTAGGGGGGGGGGGGTACTGTAATCCCTGTTAAGGACTGCCAGTATAAGGGGGAACATCCCAACCTCCCGAAGCCCCAACCAGAGATGATTGTTGGGGGTTTAGGGTTTAGGGTTTAGGGTTTAGGGTTTAGGGTTTAGGGTTTAGGGTTTAGGGTTTAGGGTTTAGGAAGCCTAAACCCTAAACCCTAAACCCTAAACCCTAAACCCTAAACCCTAAACCCTAAACCCTAAACCCTAAACCCTAAACCAGGGGTGTCATCGCCTGCCGTTCCGTGTGCCCAGCTCGGTCATGCTGTGCGAAGAGCCCTTGCAGCCACTCCTGCATTCTTGTAAGCCCTACTGTAAACCTGAAGCGGTACAAGCCCGAAACCCCAAACCCCAAACCCCAAACCCTAAACCCCAAACCCTAAACCCCAAACCCTAAACCCCAAACCCTAAACCCGAAACCGTAATCCAGGGACTTGGGGATGCTCACAACGCAGACGCAGCACCAGCTAGGCATCCCTGTACGACGAGCCCTGCAACTAAATGCTGAAATTGTTTACACGTATATGCACATCTTAGACTCTCTCTCTCTCTCTATATATATGCATATATTCACGGAAACATATGTACACACATATAAGAACTAATACAGAGACACATACGACATAGATAGTAACACATACAAATAATATGTGTGTATATATGTATCTATGTATATATACACATATATGTGTGTATGAAGCAGGGTTTACATTTCTGTTTTTGGTGTGTGTGTGTGTGTATAAGGTTCCTTTTTAGTATTGGTGAGTGCTTGGATATGACACACATAGCTACACATACAAATAACATATGCATACATAAATGTATGTATGAATATGTGCATACATATATATATATATATGTATGTATGTGAAAATACATATGTCCCAAAACTAATTGTCGTACACATGACTGGAGCCTTTTTTGAGTGGCAAGCCCGAACACCTTCAAACCCTTTGAAAACCCTAGCCTTACTTTGGGTGTAGGGACTAGGGTTTATAGGGTTTCGGCTTTCGGGTTTAGGGGTTGGGAGGCTTTAGGCTTTAGGTGTTTGGGCTAGGGGCTGCTTTGAAGGGAAAGCGCGCCAAACCCGACCCTAAACCCCCAGACCCAAACTCCCCAAAAGCGCGAACCCCCCCCCCCCCCCCCCCCCCACGCCAAAACAACCGTCCTTTGTGGTGTGCTTCTTATCAGGGGATTGCATTGTAGGGCTGCAGTTGATCCCTGAACCCCCAAACCCCAAACCCCAAACCCCAAACCCCAAACCCCAAACCCCAAACCCCAAACCCCAAACCCCAAACCCCAAACCCCAAACCCTAAACCCTAAACCCTGGGAGGGGGTGTCCTGCCCCTTGCGCACATCCTGCAAGGTGAAAAGCACTTCGCCTCGCCACTGCTCCTTCTCGCAACTTGGAGGATGGGCCTAAGCCCAACCCTAAGCCCTAAACCCAAGGGGTTTAGGGTTTAAGGTTTAGGGTTTGGTGTTTGGGGTTTAGGGTTCCCGAGCCCTAAGCCCCAAGCCCTAAACCATAATCCCTGGTCCTGCACGCTCCCAGAGCCCGAGCGCCGGCTTCAAGGGTAAGGGCTTTGGGGGCATGGGGGTTTAGAGTCTTGCGGGCGACGCCCAGGCCCCCAGTTCTGGAAGCCGTCGCTCGCGGGGTCTTCGGGTTTAGGGCGCAGGATGTAGGGCTTAGATTTCCGCATGAAGGGAGCGGATCTTGTTTTGACATGGTCTTGGAGTCCTAAACCCCAAACCCAAGAAGCACAACCCAAAAAATGCCAAAAACCTTTAACCCCCCTAAACCCTAAACCCCTGACCTAAACCCCAAACCCCAAACCCCTAAACCCTAAACGCTAATCCCCAAACCCTAAACCCTAAAGCCTAGGCCCTAAACCCAAAACCAGGTCCTGCAGCCGCGTGAAGGTCTCCACACCTCTCTTGTCCATGGCCCTGTGCTCGTCCAAGCCTGACTCTGCGTGGGAAAAACGAGTTTTCGGAACGTCGGTTTTGGGTTTAGGGTTTAGGGTTTAGGGTTTAGGGTTTAGGGTTTAGGGTTTAGGGAGGTTGTTTGCTGAGGTCTAAGGTCCAGGAGACGATGCAACTAGGGTTTATTGACCTTTAGGGTTTAGGGCTTCAGCCCTTGAGCCCTAAACCCTAAACCGAAAAACCCTAAACCCTAAACCCTAAACCCTAAACCCTAAGCCCGCTTGTCCAGAAGCAGACCCTGAAGCAAGCCGATTGGCCAACTCAGGCCGACCCGAAGCCATCCAAATCAACACTGGACTCATTGTTGGGGGCTTTAAGGGCTTTAAGGGGTGTTCAGGGTTTAGGGTTTAGGGTTTAGGGCTTAGGGTTTAGGGTTCCAAAATTTCCCATACATCGATGCCCTCTGCAACCCATTCCCCGCCCCTAAACCACGGAAGGGTCGCAGCCCACATGTCGAAAACCCTAAACCCTAAACCCTAGACCTTAAAGACCCTGAAACCTAAATCCTCGACCGCAGATTGCGGTGTTTTAGAGCTTAGGGCTTATATAGGCTTTTGGGTGGTGTTTCGGGGCCTAGGGTTTTAGAATCTCAGGCGCATGGCATATCGTAAGCCCGAAGACCAAAAACACCCAAAGTAACCACCAGCTCAAGCTGCTGAAGCCTAAACCCTAAACCCTAAACCCCAAACCCCAAACCCCAACCCCTAAACCCCAAACCCTAAACCCTAAACCCTAAACCCGAAGCCCAAGTCGCTGAAGCCAGTGATCCTCCCCACTTCCTTGAGGTGCTCGCTCCAGTGGCCCTGCGTGGGGGGGACTCTTGCGAGTCTGGAGGTCCGTGAGGGTTTAGGGTTTAGGGTTCAGGGTTTAGGGTTTAGGGTTCAGGGTTTAGGGGAAGCTTCTTGGGACATAGTTGTTGCCAAGAACTTCCTTCTCTCTCTCTCTCTCTCTCTTCAGTTTTGCTTTGTTTGGGGGGGTCTATTTGGTTTGGGCCCAAAACCCTAAACCCAAACCCGTCTAAGCAAATGACAGGAGGGACCTGGGAAACCCTGCAAACCCTCTACTTGGCATGTTCCCCCTTATGCGAACAGTCCTTAATAGGGATTATCATAATCCCTATTAAGGACTGCTAGTATAAGGGGGAACAAACCCTGAACACGGCTTATCGCGACGATATGTCGGGGCCGGCCCTGGTTTAAGGATTAGGGTTGACAGGGTTTAGGGTTTAGGTTTAGGGTTTTAGGGTTTAGGGTTTTAGGGTTTAGGGTTTTAGGGTTTAGGGTTTAGGGTTTAGGGTCGGGTTTAGGGATTTTTGTCTAGCCCTCGCAAGATTGAAGGGTCCAGAGTCTATCGCCCAAGATCGCAGCGCCTCCAATCCATTGGAGGTGATGGCTACCTGCAGAGGAGGTGGAGCCAAGCAAAGCCCTGATTTTGGGTCCTTTGACACCCTACCTGAACCCTAAACCCCCCCAACCAATCTGTAACTTTAAGACGAAGGAATGATAGTAGTAGCCAGGTTTAGGGTTTAGGGTTGGGGCTTTAGGGTTGAGGGCTTGGGGTTAGGGTTTAGGGTTTACCAGCCAGTCACGATAAGGGCAACACCCACAGTAATGGCGAAAAAAACCGCAATCTGAAAGCAAAGCATTTAGCAAACAACCTTCTACGGCTGCACATTCAAACCAAAACCCAACAGAAGCCCTGCACCCAAAAACTAAAAACTCTAACCCCCCCCCCAAAAAAAAAAAAGGAAACCTAAAACCCCTGCAAACCCTATCAACCCTATCAACACTGTCAACACTATAAACCCTAAACCCTAAACCCCAAACGCTAAACCCTAAACCCTAAAGACCTTAAACCGAAAAGACCCTAAACCCAAACCCCAAGCCCTAAACCCTACCTGGGACGCTATTTACCTGCTGTTTAGTAGCATAACCCAGTAAGACTGTAGGTAAAGAGGGGCTAAACAAAGCGCCTCCAGATCAAAGGCGATCCACGAGATCACGCGCCGCTCGTGGGGGCCGAAGCGGTCGAACCACATGAACCTGAGCAGAAGGCGGGGGTTTAGGGTTTAGGGTTTAGGGGTTTAGGGGTTTAGGGGTTTAGGGGTTTAGGGGTTTAGGGGTTTAGGGGTTTAGGGGTTTAGGGGTTTCGGGGTTTAGGGGTTTGGGGTTTGGGGTTTGGGGTTTAGGGCTTAGGGCTTAGGGCTTAGGGTTTAGGATTTAGGGTTTAGGGTTTAGGGTTCAGGGTTTAGGGTTTGGGGTTTAGGGTTTAGGGTTTTAGGGCTTAGGGCCTTAGGGCTTAAGGCTTAGAGCTTAGGGCTTGGGGCTTGGGGCTTAGGGCTTAGCCCACAAGGCTGAAATGCAACACCTGCCACTCCCTATGACTATGATCTTTGCATCCCAAACATTCTGCAGTCCAGTTCTTGCAGACCCTAAGCTCCAAACTACCCCTCACCGAAATTTGAACGGCCTTTTCGTCCGCAACCCCGCCAACCGCAGAACGCTAAACCCTAAACCCTGTAAAACCCTATAAACCCTCTTCCACAGCCCCGCAGGCCGCAGAACCCTCTAACCCTCTAAACCCTCTAAGCCGTCTAAAACCCTCTAAGCCCTCTAAAACCCTCTAAACCCTCTAGACCCTCTAGACCCTCCAAACCCTCAACCTTCCACCCCGGAGTCAGGAGGCGGAAGTTCCTCGCGCATCTTCTTCAGTGCCGCCGCCACCGCGGCGCGGGCCCTGGCGCCCCATTCGGGCCCAGCATGGGCGTCCTGAGGTTTAGGGTTTAGGGTTTAGGGTTTAGGGTTCAGGGTTCAGGGTTCAGGGGGCCCTTGCACCCCGTTCGGGCCCAGCATGGGACAACTCTTGAGCCTTTGGCTTTGGAGCTGTAGGGCTTAGGGTCTTAGGGCTTTGGCGCTTGGATGTTTTTTCTTAGGTACATTGGGTTTTTGGGTTTAGGATTTTAGGGAGAGGTGGGGTGTTTACTCTTAGTATCGCCAGAGACATCTTACATAATAAACACACACCGATAGTTTAACGGAACCGTGCCATACAAGCACTTAGCCATAACAGCAATACAAGCCCTGAGCATTTTAACGGGTACCCCAAACCCTAAACCCTAAACCCTAAACCCTAAACCCTAAACCCCAAACCCTGACTTAGGGGACCTGCAGCCTTACTTGGAGGTTCATGGTACTTATTAAGCAATTATCACTGTACTTCTAACCCACTTCTAAGCCCCTTGAGTTCCCAAATGTGGTTAAATTGGGTTATAAGTACAGCTAGTATCACTGTACTTATAACCCACGTTCTAAGCCCCTCAAGTGCCCAAATGCAGTTGTTATTGGGTTATAAGTACAGTGATTACTGGGTTAATAAATACCATGAACCTCCAAGTATTCCTCTTATCGGGAAGCCCAAACAATGCTTGGATGTGTGTTTTTTTGCAAAATTTATCGTCCAACTTCCCAGGGGGGTACTCCAGGCAAGCCTATGAGACTATCGAGTCATGAGAATCACTTATGAAACCCTTGATCAGCCGTAGAATGCTGCCTACACTCACATAAACCGTTCTAAACCCTTATCTACCCTTACTACAATCCCTTCTCCAACCTGCTGACACCGAAGCCCTAAACCCTAAGCCCTAAGCCCTACACCCTAAAACTCTAAAACCCTAAACCCTAACCCTAAACCCTAAACCCTAAACCCTAAACCCTAAACCCTAATCCCCAAAAAGGGCCGAGCTGCGGGCTCCGTTCCTTTGGAGAAGGCGGTGGTGCCTCGCAGGTCGCTGGGGTCGATGAGGCCCAGCTGTCGCATGGCCACGCGCGTGAAGATGGGTCCCAAGAAGTCAACCTGCTGGGGGTGATCTGGGAGTTAGGGTTTAGGGTTTAGGGCTTAGGGTTTGGGGTTTAGGGTTTAGGGTTAGGGTTTGGGTCTCTTCCCAAAGAGTCTACCTGCTGCTGGGTGATCTGGGACACAGAGTCTGGGGTTTAGGGTTTAGGGTTTAGGGCTAGGGTTTAGGGCTAGGGTTTAGGGTTTGGGGCTTTAGGCGTTTACGGCACTGGGGTCTCGGGTTTTAGGGCTTTCGCGTTTCGGGTAGCCTCAACCCAAGAACCTGACAGGGTTTGGGGTTGAGGGTACAGTCATCCCTAAATCAGACCAGTCCCCCTCCCACAGCACACAACCTTGCTATGATTCTAAGGGATCCCTTGTTGCGGGTTGGCTACTCTATGAGGGATTCCTGTTTAGGGGTTGGTTACTTTAGAAGGGATTCCTTTTGGGGGTTTAGGGTTTAGGGTTTAGGGTTTAGGGTTTAGGGTTTAGGGTTTAGGGCACCAACCGAGCCACAAAAGGGCAAAGTGTACCACTGTGCTACAGAGGATCAACCCAAGGTGGCTACGGGAACCTGACGAAGTCTAGGGTTTAGGGTTTAGGGTTTAGAGTTTAGGGTTTAGGGTTGAGGGTCCCCTGAACTCTGGCAAAGGTCAGCAGAGCCCCCAAACCCTGGGAGTCTAGGGTCTAGGGTCAAGGGTTTAGGGGTTTTGGGTAAAACCTAAACACAAGATACAATAGACCCTAAGCTCTAAGCCCTCCTCCAATCCTAGGTCAAAGACGACACAAGCCGTGACGCCCGGGGATTGAAGGCGCCCCGGCCCCAACACATTCTGTGTGAAGAGGTGGATGAGCCCTGAAACTCGATATACGTAGTGGTTCCCAGTACTAGGGAACCTAGGAATAACAGGGTACCCATTCTTTTGGGTTTAAAGGGGGTACAAGGGAATCAAACCCTAAAACAAAAAGGGAATAAGGGCCTACTCTGGGTCCTAGCCCTTACTCCTAAACCCTAAACCCTACTAGTAAAGAATTGGGGAGTTTTAGGGTTTGGGCTTCAGGGTACAATGCAAGGGTCTGCTAAGTACTGCCTGCCTCATTCGCCATTATGAAGTAGCAATCAGACTTCCAAAGCAACAACTCGTCGGTCAATACGCTTCGGCGAAACTTTTCTGTCAACATGTTCTCAGACTAAAAACCTATACAATTTCTGTACACTCTGAACCCTGAACCCTAAAATCCTGAACCCTATTAACCCCGACGACCCAAAAATCCTGAACCACTCTGAACCCTGAACCCTAAACCCAAAACCCTACACCCTAAACCCCAACGCCCCTTAGCCTCAAACCCGTAAACCCTAAAACCCCTCAACCCTAAACCCTAAACCCTATAAAGCCTATAAACCCACCTGGAGCTCATCGATCAAGCGCTGGGCGGCACGGCGAGCGGACTCCAGGGGCGAGAGCCTGCCCAGGAGCTGGGCAGAGGGGTGTGTGTTTAGGGTTCAGGGTTCAGGGGTTTTGGGGTTTAAGGTTTAGGGCTTGGGGTTTTAGAGTTCAGGGTCCGCCGACCCTGGCGGCGTGTTGGATGGGAAAAGGAGCCTACCCCCCCTCCCTACCCCCCCCTTCCACCCCCTCCCCCCCCCCTCCCCCTACCCCCCCCTACCCCCCCACCCCCCCCCAACCCCCCCCCCACCCCCCCCCAACAGGAACCGCAAACAAAATCACCAAACCCCAAACCTTGAACTTATTCTCCTGCGGGGTCGGCGGCTCTTAAATTTAGGGCTAGGGGTTTGTGATTGTAGGGTCTAGGGTTTAGGGCTTAGGGTTTGTTTAGGGTGTAGGCTTTGGGGCTGCATAGGCTTCTCAAGGTTTGGCTTATATGGTTTGGGGGTTCAGGGTGGGTTCGGGAGGGGGACTTGCCTGTCCATGGCTAATATTCCTACACATGATCCTCTTGAAAACACAAAATATCCCAAGGGCCCCGAGCATGGGAAATATGAACTTTGCCCAGGGTTTAGGGTTAAGACCTGGCTAAAGTTTTGGGGCAAGGTGATTGGATGAGTTGGAGGTTGGCACGGTGTTGAACAGCGCGCATTTTGACTCTGGGTTGTGCGGTTTTAGGGCTGAGGGCTGAGGGATTTTGGGGGTTTGGGTTGGTCCCTAAACCCTAAACCCTAAACCCCTCATTAAGCCCCGGGGCCTTAACAGCCCCTCCCACGACTGCCTCTCCGGCAGGCGGTGGGCAGCACTCAAGTTGCCGTGTGTGGCAGGGCCGGCATTCCTTGAGGTCCGGTTTTTTTGCAAACCCTGAGCCCTAAACCCTAAACCCTAAACCCCAAACCCTAAACCCGAAACCCTGTTGCGGTGCAGGATCCAGCTGTGGTCGTTAGGCTTTAGGGCTTATTGGTCCCCATGGTGGTTGAAGCCCAAAACCCTAAACCCTAAACCCTAAACCCTAAACCCTAAACCCTGAAGGTACAGTCTAGGGTTGAAGGTTTCGGGTTCAGGGTTACAGGGTTGAGGGTTCAAGGTTGGGATGTTCCCCCTTGTACGAACAGTCCTTAATAGGCATTATGGTACCCCCGAGGATCCCTTTCAGGACTGTTAGTATAAGGGGGAACATCCCAAGCTTAAGGGCGTTACGAAGGTCCGCTATAAATCGGACTAAACCCTAAAACCCTACACCCTACACCCTAAACCCTAAACCCCAAACCCTACACCCTGGCGCCCAGCATCAGCAGCTTTATCGGCGCAGCCACTGCAGCCTCTCGGTTCTTCAGCAGGCGAGAGCCCTGAATTACGCGAGCCCCCCTTTGGTTACCCTAGACGACGATATGGAACATGCTGAAACCCTAAACCCCAAACCCTTAAACCCTTAAACCCTTAAACCCCTAAACCCTAAACCCTAGACCCCAATATGCTGAGGCCAAAGCCCCAAACCAAATAAAGCAGCAGCATGCCTCTGATAGAAGCCACCTAAGGGAAAACCCTTGCAGGGCTAAGGGTTCAGGAACTACTTGGAGGTTCATGGGCTTAGGGTTTAGGGTTTAGGGTTTAGGGTTTAGGGTTTAGGGTTTAGGGGCTCCGGAAAGTCTAAACGATCTTTGGCCCAAAGCTCAAAAGTCCCAGTACACGCCGAACTTCATCCCGAAGAGCAATTCAAGACTTAACGAAGTAGATCCTTCAAACATGCTCAAACTTACTTAATAGCCCCACGGGAAGAACACAAATGCTGGCCTGAGTACACCCCCTAGACCCCAAAAAACAGCATAGCTGAGGTAGCGCCAGTGGGAACACTTAGCTACGCGAGCGCTCGCTATACGAACCCTGACTCTCAACCCTAAACCCTAAACCCTAAACCCAAACCCTAAACCCTAAACCCTAAACCCTAAACCCTAAACTCTTAAGCTTAAGCCTGAGTGCTCAGCTTAAGCCTTCTTACGTACAGGAGCGTACCACACCTTGACGGGAATGTAAACACATGACCTTCTAAGTCTTACCTAGAGGTAAATGGTAATTATAGAATATAATTACAGCCATTTACAGGTAAGTGCATGTCTGTATACAAATATTCTTTAATATTTCTATAGACAGTACTGTCAGTATTAATACAAGTATTATTGTTAGCCCTAAACCCAGGTCATCAAACCCGGATCAGAAAATGGACCCTCGAGTGCTCGTGGCCAGCCAAAGGCCTTGGAGCCAAAAATTACTCGGGAACAGCGCGTTTTTCTTTGTCTGGCCTTGCTAAACCGTGGTGGAAGCCAAAAATTACTCCAAAGCAGTGCGTTTCTCTTTGTGTGGCTTGTCTGAAGCTCTTTCGAAGGTCTGAAAAGCTCTTTCGAAGGTCTGAAGGAGGCTGAAAGCTTTTTCGAAGGTCCCAGGGAGGCTCCGTGAGGGGTACCCCAGGATTCGGGAAAAATGGCTCGATTCCTAGTTAATTTTAAATAGATTTTAAATAGCGGAAATTACCCCCTGATTTTCTAAAATTCTGGTCTTCTTGTCAGTAGCCCAGGAGAAGGTGAGCTCCCCTCTGCCTTGTCAAACCCGGATCAGAAAATAGACCCTCGAGTGCTCGTGGCCAGCCAAAGGCCTTGGAGCCAAAAATTACTCGGGAACAGCGCGTTTTTCTTTGTCTGGCCTTGCTAAACCGTGGTGGAAGCCAAAAATTACTCCAAAACAGTGCGTTTCTCTTTGTGTGGCTTGTCTGAAGCTCTTTCGAAGGTCTGAAAAGCTCTTTCGAAGGTCTGAAGGAGCTGAAAGCTTTTTCGAGATCCCAGGGAGGCTCCGTGAGGGGTACCCCAGGATTCGGGAAAAATGGCTCGATTCCTAGTTAATTTTAAATAGATTTTAAATAGCGGAAATTACCCCCTGATTTTCTAAAATTCTGGCCTTCTTGTCAGTAGCCCAGGAGAAGGTAAGCTCCCCTCTGCCTTGTCAAACCCGGATCAGAAAATAGACCCTCGAGTGCTCGTGGCCAGCCAAAGGCCTTGGAGCCAAAAATTACTCGGGAACAGCGCGTTTTTCTTTGTCTGGCCTTGCTAAACCGTGGTGGAAGCCAAAAATTACTCCAAAACAGTGCGTTTCTCTTTGTGTGGCTTGTCTGAAGCTCTTTCGAAGGTCTGAAGGAAGGCTGAAAGCTTTTTTGAAGGTCCCAAGGAGGCTCCGTGAGGGGTACCCCAGGATTCGGGAAAAATGGCTCGATTCCTAGTTAATTTTAAATAGATTTTAAATAGCGGAAATTACCCCCTGATTTTCTAAAATTCTGGCCTTCTTGTCAGTAGCCCAGGAGAAGGTGAGCTCCCCTCTGCTTTGTCAAACCCGGATCAGAAAATGGACCCTCGAGTGCTCGTGGCCAGCCAAAGGCCTTGGAGCCAAAAATTACTTGGGAACAGCGCGTTTTTTTTTGTCTGGCCTCGCTAAATCGTGTTGGAAGCCAAAAATTACTCCAAAACAGTGCGTTTCTCTTTGCGTGGCCTCTCTGAAGCTCTTTCGAAGGTCTGAAGGAGGCTGAAAGCTTTTTTGAAGGTCCCAGGGAGGCTCCGTGGGGGGTACCCCAAGATTCGGGAAAAATGGCTCGATTCCCAATTAATTTAAAATAGATTTTATATGGCGGAAATTACCCCCTCATTTTCTAAAATTCTGGCCTTCTTGTGGGGATAGCCCAGGAGAGGGTAAGCCACCCTAAGCACCAGTCAAACCCGGATCAAAAAATGGACCCTCGAGTGCTCGTGGCCAGCCAAAGGCCTTGGAGCCAAAAATTACTCGGGAACAGCGCGTTTTTCTTTGTCTGGCCTTGCTAAATCGTGGTTGAAGCCAAAAATGAAGCCCAGTCAAACCCGGATCAAAAAACGGACCCTCGAGTGCTCGTGGCCAGCCAAATGCCTGTAGCCAAAAATTACTCGGGAACAGCGCGTTTTTCCTTGTCTGGCCTTGCTAAATGGCTTCTCTGAAGCCACCCTAAGCCCCAGTCAAACCCGGATCAAAAAATGGACCCTCGAGTGCTCGTGGCCAGCCAAATGCCTGGAGCCAAAAATTACTCGGGAACAACACGTTTTTCTTTGTCTGGCCTTGCTAAATCGTGCTTGGGGCCAAAAATTACTCCAAAACAGTGCGTTTCTTTGTGTGTGGTCTCTTTAAGTGCGTTTTTCTTTGTCTGGCCTTTCTAAATCGTGCTTGGAGCCAAAAATTACTCCAAAACAAGGCGTTTTTCTGTGTGGAGTACCCCACAGGAGGGGGTAAGCCCCCCTAAGCCACCCAAAGGCCTTAGCAAGCCGACTTTCTAGTCTTACCTAGAAGTAAATGGTAATTATGGAACATAATTACAGCCATTTACTGTGTAAGTGCATGGTCTTTTGTTTCTCACATTTTCTGTAATCTCTTTACCAGACACTATTATCAATATTAGCGACGCTTAAGAACTTAAGCGTCCTACAGATGCTTTGGGTGGCATCCTGGGGTGGGAGAAAGTAGAGCTCCATGTACATGACGGAACTCTTTTGCGCTGAAGGTTTCGGACGTCCGTCTCTCTTTCCATACACTACGCATGTTAAATCGACAAGCCCTAAACCCTAAACCCTAAACCCTAAACCCTAAACCCTAAACCCTCCCAACCTCGGCCGCTGGCTCTGCCATGCCCTGGAGCCCCTGATCCCGGCCGATGATGGCTTCGAGGGCATGGACCACCTCTTGTGTTCTTGGTTTCTTCTTTGGTTTAGGGTTTAGGGTTTAGGGTTTAGGGTTTAGGGTTTAGGGTTTAGGGTTTAGGGTTTAGGGTTTAGGGTTTAGGGTTTAGGGTTTAGGGTTTAGGGTTCAGCATCTCAAGTCCGAGCATTCACTAGTCAAGCAGCTTGTCAAGCGTTGGAAAAAAACCCACCCGCCCACGAAACCCATAACATTGAGAAAATACAAAGTTCACTCAATACATTCCTAGTAGTTAGTTTTTAACGGACCCAAAACCCGAAATCTAATCTAAGGCCCACAATAGGCCCTTTATGCTCTTAGGGCCTTAAACCCTACGGTTTAGAAGCCCCTATCGGTGAAGGCTCGGTTTTGGTCCAAAATCCACAGAACGAGAGGCTCGATTTCAGTACTAAAAAACCGCATTTTTAACTGGGACCCGGGCCGATCCTGGGGTCCCCCCTCATTTGGGGTGTTTTTGGAGGCAAACTTTCCCTCTCAAGGGGGGGTCGGAGTTTGAGGCAAGCGGGGGTCTACGAAGACTATTTTGCTTTTAAAATTGAAAAGTGCGACCCCCCCTTGACCAAAGCTAGGCTGTGAAAAGGTCGCAGGAGCGTTCATCAGAACTGAGGGAAAAATCCTGAAACACATTGAAAAACTTTCAAAAACTTTACAAAACATTGAACAATTTGAAAAACCTTGAAAAGCCTTGAAAAACTTGAAATTCTTGAAACCGGTGAAGGCTCGGTTTGGTCAAAAACCCAGAAAACGAGAGGCCACCCAGAACCGTCGATTTCAGTACTAAAAAATCGCATTTTTAACTGGGACCCGGGCCGATCCGGGGGTCCCCCTCATTTGGGGTGCTTTTGGAGGCAAACTTTCCCTCTCAAGGGGGGGGTCGGAGTTTGAGGCAAGGGGGGTCTCCGAAGACTATTTTGCCTTTAAAATTGAAAAATACGACCCCCCTTGACCAAAACTAGGCTGTGAAAAGGTCGCGGGGCGGCCTTTATCAGAATTGAGTGCTACAAGCCCTGAAACATTCTGAAAAACATTGAAAAACCTTGAAAAACTCAGGGAAAAGGAATTCACCATTGCCCACTTTTGAGGCCGAAATTCACCATTGCCCATCACCGTTGCCCACTTTCGAGGCCAGGAAAGTTGCCCACTTTTGAAGCCAGGAAAGTCACCGTTGCCCACTTTTGAGGCCAGGAAAGTCACCGTTGCCCACGTCACCGTTGCCCACTTTTGAGGCCAGGAAATGCACCGTTGCCCACTCTTTTGAGGCCGAAAATCACCGTTGCCCACTTTTGAATTAGGGTTTAAATTCATTATGATAAAGGGGTTTAGGGTTTAGGGTTTAGGGTTTAGGGTTTAGGGTTTAGGGTTTAGGGTTTAGGGTTTAGCGTTGTTCTTGATTTTTCTTTCCGTAAAAAACACTTTTTAATGCTTAGAAATATATATTTTAATTGTTGCTTGTGTCTCTGGTTTCTGATTTCTTGTTTTATGTTTGCTTTTATCTCTTCTCTTGTTTTTGCTTGTGCCTGTGTTTGTCGTTTTTCGTTTTTGTTTTTTTTATACTTGTGTTTATGTTTGCTTTTGTTTTTGTGTTTGTTTGTATTTCGGCTTCGGCTTTGTATTTCTGCTGTTTGTGTGTTTGTCTGCTTCTATGTCTGTTTCTTCGCTTGCCTTTTGTTTGAGTTTTTGTCTTTGTGTGTTGATTGGTTGGATTGTTCGTTGGTTTCTGTTTTTCGGATCGCGTTGGCTTTCTGAGGAGATGATGCCGGCAGCCCTTACGTCTCTTTATGCCAGTTGCCATAGCTACACAATCCCCAACCCTCTAGACCCGCAAGCCGCTAAACTAGACCTCCAAACCTAAACTTTCAACCCTTAACCCTTAAACCCCAAACGCTTACTAACTTCTAGTGTGTGGGGTTGCTGGCACACCCGAAACCCTGCACCCTCTAGGTTGCAGGTACGGTCTGCGGTTGGGAGTGCGAGGTGTGGCGTTTAGGCTGGTGGAGGGACCTCTTGCTTGGCACCAGACCCAAAACTCCCCACACCTGAAACACCCTAAAAGCCCTATAAGGAAACTCAAAAGCAACCTTCAAAACCATAACAAAAAAACAAGTAGAAATCTGCAGAAAAACAAATGAAAACCCCTGAAAGCTCGCAACAGTTCTTCCTTGTGCGTCCGCGGCGCTCGCTGAAAGACGCGCTCCTGGAATGTTCCTGGACTCGCGGAAAAGGGCCCACGCAATACGTGTCGGGGTTTAGGGTTTAGGGTTTGGGGGTTTGGGGGTTTAGGGTTTCGGGTTTAGGGTGCAGGGTTTAGGGCTTGGGCGGTTTTCAAGCACCTAGAACTTCCTGAAATGGAAGGGAAAGTGTTCGCATTGGGAGTTGCCTTCAGAGAGCTCCCAAGGCCCTTGGATGAAAAGTAGGTTGCCGAAAACGACTGAACCTCCCCATCAGGGCAGGTCCGGTGCTTTCCTGTTTTCCTAAACACTAAACCCTAAACCCTAAACCCTAAACCCTAAATCCCAAACCCCAAACCGGAAGGGAAGGGTTCGGGTTTAGGGTTTAGTCTGGCCGGAGGTCTCTCCAAGGACGGCCACAGATGCAGCTCCTCCCGCTGCGGCCAGCAAGCCTCAACGCCGGAAATCGCTTGAGAGAATCGGTGTTTTCATGGGCTGTTAGTTGGCCTAAACCCTAAACCCTGAACCCTGAACCCTAAACCCTAAACCCTAAGCAATTCAACCCTAAACCCTGAACCTTAAAGCCGATTCCTGAGCCGTTGACAAGGTGTGAGGAAGCTTCAGGGCCTTAGGGTTCTCTTTAGGGTTAGGGTTTAGGGTTTAGGGTTAAGGGTTCAGGGTTCAGGGTTCACGGTTTAGGGTTTAAGGTAGACATCACAGGGGTTTAGGGACTAGGGTTCGGGGTTTGGGGTTCAGAGTTCAGGGTTTGGGGCATAAGGTCAGGGTTTAGGGTTTAGGGTTTAGGGTTTAGGGTTTAGGGTTTAGGGTTTAGGGTTTAGGGTTTAGGGTTTAGGGCTTAGGGTTTAGGGTTTGGGGCTTGCGGTTCAGGGTCTGAGGCGCCTACTTTTGTAATTAGAACCGGATGGGTTGCATGTGTTGCCACGTGTCGCGTCAAACCCAAAAAACCTAAACCCGAACACCCCGAACACCCCAAGGCAACAAACCCCCCAAACCGAAACCCTGAACCATCAAATCCCTAAACATGTGAATCCGTTGTCTGGTATCCTTGGGGAACTAAAGGTTAACCGCTGTGATGGTAAAAGGAATATAAGACCCCAAAAAGAATAAAGATTCCCGACTCTACTACTAAGCTTAAACACTCAGAACATCAAGAAGAAGATCAGACAATCAGGCTTTCAGAATGATCCGGGGGTTGAGTCCCAATCAGGGTCCCTTCTACAAAGCGAACCTCCCAAAAGCACTGCCAAGTTGGAGGTTACCTAGTCTACTATTAAGTAAGGCCCCTGAAGCCTTACTACTAGTTGCTTGAGAACACCCCAAGAAATAATCCTCCTTGTAAGGGCAATATCGGATTTGTTTAATGTTTTTTGGGTTTCTTAAGCAAATAGTAGCTAAAACTCCCCAACCAAGAATTGCTTAGCGCGTCATTCTTGAGATCCCAAGCTTCTACTCGAGGCTCCTGGGGTAAATGGAGAGAACTAACACTAAACCCCTAAACCCTAACACACAGAGACCCTAAACCCGAAACCCCAGCCCCTAAACCCTGAACCCTAAACCCTAATCAACACCTGAAACCCACAACCCCCATTGTTCTGACACCCACAAAACCCCTAAGCCCCAAAACCCTGAACATCCTACAGCCCTGAACCCTAATGTTGTAATCTGATTAGTGTGGGCCCCCGGAATTGTGAAAAAAACCGAAAAACTATTCAGAGGGATCTATTTGAGGAGGACCCCCGGAATTGTGAACAAAAAAATCGGGCGATGCAAAATTTCAGCCAGGCTAAACATCCTAAAACCCACAAACCCTGAACCCTACACCCTAAACCCTAAAACGCACAAACCCGCAACCCTACAACGCGTTTTGTTAATTTTTTTTCTTTTTGGGGGGGGGGGGGTCATTGCATGGGACCCTAGGGGAATACTACTAGTAATACTTCCGACCCCTATAGTAAACCAGGACACCCTAAGCCCTAAACCCTAAACCCTGAACCCTAAACCCTAAACCCTAAACCCTAAACCCTGAACCCTAAACCCTAAACCCTGAACCCTAAACCCTAAACCCTAAACCCGAAACCCGGACCAGTGGCGTTGACGACCTGGACCAACTCCCACCCTTCGTACTTGCGCATGCGGATGAGGTTCAGGAAGTGGTCCTTGCTTGGGGTGTAGGGTTTAGGGTTTAGGATTTAGGGTTTAGGGTTTAGGGTTTAGGGGTTAGGGGCTTAGGTTTTCGGGTTTGGGGTTTGGGGTTTGGGGTTTGGGGTTTGGGGTTTGAGGTTCAGGAAATGGGCCTTGTGTAGCGTTTCAGGGTTCAGGGTTTCGGGTTTGAGGTTTTACAGTAGGAGGGTTTGGGGTTTTGAGCGGCTTTAGGTTTAGGTTTAAACGCAGGAGTATATAACCCCTTCCCCCTAATACAAGACCCCCCCCCAACTTTAAATACTATTTTTCCCGGACCCTGCCGGCACCCAGCCCAATACTAAACCTGTTTGAGAATTGAGCCATTACTGTTTCAGGGTTTAGGGCTGAAGGCTGACAGGATTAGGACTCAGGGCTCAGGGCTTAGAGGGTTTAAGGCTTTGGTTAGGCTTCGGAATTCAGGTTTTAGGGTTCAGCCCCCCCCCCCCCCCCCCCCTAATTTTTAATATTTCTAGCCCAGGCGGATTTCAGATAGGGGGGGGGATTTAGAATTAATGAGGGGGAAGGGATTACTACGAATTCGTCGTTGAAGATGCAATACCTTGCTCCAGCAGTATCTCCAAGCGTGGCTACGCCGCCCTGGCGTGAATGTATGCCCCCGCGCAGCCGGCGAAGAAGCGCAATCGAGCACAGGGAATCTTGTGCTCGATCCAGGTCTTGGGGTTTCGTTTGTGCCAGTCGAGTTCTGCCGCGCAAGAAGCTTGCAGCTGCCTTCCGCTTGGAGGACAGCCACAGAACTGCAAAGAGGACGGGGAAGAAGCTTTCTTTTCCCTCTTTAGCCCGGCGCGTGCAGTGCAAGCAGCTGCGATCCGATTGGGCTCTGTGAGTCTGTGAGATCTTGTGTCCTGGCAGAAGCTACCTGGACACCGCCGCAACAGCGCAACATCTTAGGGTATATAGCTACATGGCCTCTTAGTATCTATACTCCCCTTGCAAGGTAGGCCGTTTTAGTTATCGGACTTACTGAGAACTTAGCAAAGTTACAGGACTTGTCTTGGACTTATCTTGACCTTATCTTGAACTTATCTTGAACTTATCTCGAGCCTGATATCAAACAAAATAAGTTCGGGATAACTTCTCTATATAAGTGGTTGCCGTTTTTTTCATATACACTGCGATTTCTTTCTACATCAAAGTTTCCTTTCAAAAAGGCACCCCACAGCAGGAAAGCGCACCGCCCTCTGCGATCGACCGCCATGTCAAAGAATGCGTGTGACAAGTTGCAACATGTGTGTATAACAGCGGCTCGACCGCCAACTCTCAAACTGCGGATCGACCGCCATGGAATGCATGTGACAAGTTGCAACATGTGTGTATAACGGCGGCTCGACCGCCAACTCTCAACCAGTTATTATGCGTGCTGCCGCGTGCTCACGCATTTTTCACCGCAGGATGGTGATGTGTGCCTCTTCGGGCCAGAACCAGGAAACGGCATGCAAGGCAGCGAGCTCAGGCCCCTCGACCACACGCTGCTCTCCACCACGCTGGCAGGTGACGGCGCAACACGTCTGGGAAACCTTGCTTGCGATGTTTAAACTTTAAACCAAGTTGAACAACAAAACGCTATAGAGGAAAAATGTGGTGTGCCAGGCCAGAAGCAATGGGCAGTTGCTGAACCAGCAGTTGGACGCCATGCGCACGCTGCAAGCACAATCGAACCAAGTAAAAGTTGCTGCCGCAGATCGCCACATCATCCCTTCGAAAGAGTCGGCCGTTCAACTGGCACTTCGTGCTGGCGGTGCCTTCCAAGCCCAACTCGGCCCGAACCGTATCGGCTGCGATGAGAGGCGGCAACAACCGCGTTGCATCCGCAGCATCCATCAAATCAAATCTTTGTTGGGAGAGCATTGTCCGAAGCAGACTCATTGACAAAGCGCCTGTGCCATGCTTGAATAGAGAAGCATGGTCATTCGCGATGCGTCTCTTGTATCGCCTGTGCCGCGACTCGGCCGGAAACATGTCCACATATACTCCCAGCTGTCCAAGTTGGCTTGGATGATGCAAACGAAAGTGGTGCTTGGGTCTATACGCGCCTCAGCACGGAAAGCAAAAAGAAAAAACACATTTTCCACATGCATAAACTAAAACATTTTCAGGTTTCAATAATCACACTCCGGACCCTGCCTGGGTACGCCGCAGCGAAGGCAGCCTGGTGGGCAGCCTGCGCGGCCTCAAGCTGCGCCAGGGCGATGGAGGGCCTGCAAGCTTGCAAGCGGCAACCTCATGGCTTCATTTCCCCCCATGAGCTGCTCTGCATAGTACGCCAACAGCGCGAAGGCATCCATACATGCTGCAGCAGAGTTTTTGTATAGACTGCCTTCCCAGAAGACGGCATCAAAGAGGCGTCCCGCCCAAGCCTTCCCGCTTCGGTCTTTGTAGCACCGCTTCCATCCAGAAGCCACCACTGCCTCCCGCAGCATCTCCAGTGAAAACTGGGATTTCTGCTCCATTTCCGCACGGAACAACAACAGCTCCGAAGAGACCACGCCATTGGCGAAGTAGTTGTGGCACGGGTCAAAGAGCACGCAGGAGGGTGGAAGGAGCGCACGCGCATCAGGCTGTGCCAGCAAGGCCTGCGGCGCAACCGCAAAGCCGAAGAGCTTGTCCCTCTCTTTGCGAGCGGCTTCGCTCCTGCAAACCTCGGACAGAAACTGGTCATACAAAGCGAAGAGTTCCCCGTCGCGCAGCTCTTCGCATAGAGCAAACTCGGCGCATTCAATGGTCTGGAAGTACTTGTCTGCCCTTGCAGCCGTGCTTGTTTTCATCAGGACGTTCTGGCATCGCAAGCATGGCTTCAGTGCACTTGCGCCTTTGGCCATATACGTCGACGCCAGGCCCTCATAATCCCCGAGCAGGCCACGAAGACGAAGGCGCTGCCACTTCTCGCCGAGCAAGAAGCCAAAGTCCAGGCACTGCGCGGCAAGGTTTCGCAAGATCTCAACCATGACTGCCGAAATGCCAGCCTCAGTTTTTTGAAGCTCTGCGTGCGGCACCGCCGCCACAGTGAGCCAGTTCACTTCGTGAACTTGCGTGCCATCCAGAAGTGCAGCGTACACAAAGCACATCTTCTTCCGCGAGCCCGTCGCCAAAACGTTTCCTCCTGTGCACTCGTCGTGGCACAAGATCCAGTCTAGAGTTTCAGGCCAAGCACTTACCCGACGCTGCATGCTGGGAGAGCTGTCAAAAAGAAAGCGTAGAACTGCGGCAAGGTCGGCGCAACCGACTTTCAAGCCTTGCACAGTGATCATGTTGAAGCACGACTCCGCGTCAGCAGCTGCAATGCGCACATCCTTCCGCCATGTGCGAGCTGAGACAATGCGGGCGTCCTGCGGCAACCGCGCGAGCACTTGCGCGGCCGCAGTCGCCGAAATATTTGGTTGCGGCTGCAGACGTGCTCGCTTGGAGCGCGGCATGCGGCGTGCCAGCAGCTGCGCCCAACTCACACAGCTTGCGCAGCTCCGCGGCTCCACCGCCACATGGCGGCGAAAGACAAATGCTCTGGCCAGAATACATTGCGAAGTTTGTTGGCTGTGTCCACATGCAAGGTGTATATACATGAAAGACAAACACTACCCTGCCCCGCTGCTATGTATAAAGAGCATTTTCCTTGGGCTGCGAGAATGGGTCGAAGCATGCCATGGAGAGCGGCGCAACCGCCCGCGTGGACATGCGAATGGCGGCACGACCGGGCCTGCAGGCACGCCTCTTGTCAGCGCTCCAGTCTCTCCCGTCTATTCCACGCGTGCAGCCGCATGGCCTGCTTGGACCTGTGAACGAGGTGGCGGCAGTGCGAGGCAAAAGCCATCAAGTTCTTCCGCGGCACGACCGCGGGCGCGAAGCCGCGCAGCAAGGCATCGCCGAACAACAAGCGCCTGGCAGCCGCCCATGGCTCGCTCCAACTCGTCTGCCATGCCGATATCGACGTGTTCCCACTGGCAGGCTTCTGCCAGCTGCTGCTGGAACCACCCGAAGCGCGCCACGGCGCGGCTCCAGTACACCTCGCGAACCTTGTACCTTTCCGGCGGCGCGACCGCCCAGTACAGGTGCGGCGCGTCCGCAGCAGGCGGCGCGTCCGCAGCAGCAGGCGGCGCAGCCGCTCCCGGCACATCATCCATGTCGTCGTCCATGCACAGCTCGAGGTCTTCAAAGGACTCCACTTGGAAGGGCCGCCGCGGAATCTGCTTCCCATGGCTCTGTCGTGGCCTGGGACGGGTCTGGCAGCCAATGCGGCGAGTCCTCGCCATCGCCAGCAAATTCCGGCTCCACCGGAGCGTTTGTGCTCGCTGCAGCTGGCTGGGACTGGGACGGACCTGCAGCTGGCTGCGAGGCAGGGGAAGCGTCCTCAGCCGCTTGCGTTGTCGCGGCCGGGCGACGGGCAGGGCGATGCCATGGCAGCCGGCGCTGGCGAGGCGAGCGCGCAGCCCGCAGCAACAGCGCGCGTGGGGTCAGGCGCGGACGCCGGCGCACCACCATGGCGCTCGTGCAGCTGGGCCCTTGCAACCAAAACTCTGCAGAACCCCTGCACGCATGCATGGGCTCTATATATACATATATATATATACAACATGTGCACGTAGACTTCTCCATTTTGCACATCCCCTTGCAGCTCTTCAGCTGTTGCCGCAACTTTGCTCGAAGCTGAATGCGTGGGCTGCCTTTTGAGGAACGAATGCGCTATTACAGAACAAAACAGCAGTTACACAGAACCAAACCACACATGCATGCAGCATGATGCCCCGAAATTCAGCCCGAGAAGGATGCGACGGCATCCCAGCACCAAAACACAGATGCGGCGCAACCGCAACAGGAACGGCGCAACCGTGCTAAAGCCCAAGTCTGTGCTGAAAAAACACAGGTTGCGTGGGCCATGGTGAAGAAACTTGTCAAGCTCAGTCAGGCGTTGTCCTTGCCCGTGGCTTTCGCCTTCGCCTTTCTCGTGGCTTTCGCCGGCCCCGGC